AGAGAAAGAAAGATTTCTGCTGCTTCTGCTGCTTTCCTTGCATGAAGCCAAAAGTTTGCACTTCCTGTCTCAGTTCAAGCAGCCTTTCTAAAACTCTAAATTCCTCCCCGTCTCTTCCTTCACTCGGCCACTTCCAGTTTTTCTGATCTGGCTGGAAACTCCAAAATTACACACTTTATAAATGGACACTGGCAAAAACGCACACAAGACCACAATAGCTGTCTCTCTCTCTCTCTCTCTCTCATGCCCTTGGTTGAACCGGGACTTGCATATGTGCCTGAAGGCAGGCAAACTGTGATACTGGTAAAATCCCCTGCCGTGTGCGAAGGCAGAACTTAATTTAAAAGCACAGGAATGGTTAGTATGCCAAAAAAAGGGGAGATTTACTCCACCAAGCATTTAAAGATAAGACACTACAACAGTGGTGGCTAAACTTTTGGGGCTCCTGTGCTGAAAATTGCATGCGTGCATGTGCTCACTCCCGTGCCAGCACCCAGAAGGCAATGTGCACGGGGCCCCCACACTCTCTGTGCAGGCGTGCGCGTTTCCCCTGCCGCCGCCCCCTTACCTGCACTAGGCATGCGAGCGCCTCCAAGCTGATTTTCGGCCCGTTTGAGGCGGCCTCCCAGAGGCTCACGGGAAGCCTCTGCAGCCTTTGCAGGCTGAAAAATGGGCCCGTTTAGTCACTTCCAGTATTTCCGGAAATATAGGAAGTGACGAAACGGGTCTGTTTTTCGGCCTGCAAAGGCTGCAGAAGCTTCCCTCGAGCCTCTGGGAGGCTGAAAAGGGCCTCAAATGGGCCAAAAATCAGCTGGGAGGTGCGCGCAGTGAGGTAAGTTTGGCTGGGACTCGGGGTGCCCGCACAAATACCTCTGCGTGCCACAGGTTCGGCATCACGGCACTACATCCAAGTCTCTTTATTTCCAGTCCAGCACAAAAAAAAAAATAAAAAAAAATAGGGAGCTACCATAGAGGGAGTCCTCGACTTAATGGCTGCAAGTGAGCCCACAATTTCTGCCATTAAGGGAGTGTTGCCCCATTTTTACGACCTTCCTCGCCACCGTTGTTAAGCGAATCCCTGCAGCGGTTGAATAAGTAACACGGTTGTTGAGTCAATCTGGCTTTCCCCTTTGACTTTGCTTCTCAGAAGGGGATCATGTGATTCCCCGAGAGGCTGCAACAGGCATAAGTACATGCCAGTTGCCAAGCCTCCAAATTTTGTTTTTTTAATTTTTTTTAATTGAATAAACATTAAAAACAATTGAACACAGTGCGACTTTCTTGGCCATCATTTTGGCCATACAAACTATAGTATAGAGATACACATAACAGTTCATTTCCTTTTTCTCTTAAGTTATTAGCTAGCTGCCAAGCTTCCGAATTTCGATCCCATGACCCTGGGAAATGCTGCCTGAAAACCAGCCATAGGTTGCTATTTTTTCCCCAGTGCCGTTGTCCCTTTGGTCACTAAACGAACAGGTCATAAGTCAAGGATCACCTGTACACCAGCCATTCTTCTAAACTCTTGCCTTGTGCTCTTCCTTGCAGCGGGGGACTCGGTGGTCTTAAAGACTCAGGGGTCATGAACTGAAATTGAATTTCAATGATGACACTAATGGATTTGGAGAGGTTCATGCTTGGATGGCGGACCAGGATATGATGCAGTGCAGCTAAAAACCCTTGGAAGTTCACATTGGAAAAAATTGAACCCACCTGTCCACGTATACGTATAACCATCGCTTATATCTCCTTTCATGTCTTGCTATGCATGAAATGTAGCATCATGATATGGAACAATATTATTTTTCTCCCTCCTTTTGCATCCTTCGATGTGTCTCTTGCATTGTTTAAAATCCCCAACGAACATGGCACGTTGCATCTGATGAGCTTTAGAAGCAGGACTTAATTCCATTTTTCTCTTCTGCTCAGGTGGCTCTGGATACATTTCTACCCTTTTCTTTCTTTCTCTTTCTTTCTTTCTTTCTTTCTTTCTTTCTTTCTTTCTTTCTTTCTTTCTTCTTTCTTTCTTTCTTTCTTTCTCTCTCTCTCTCTCTCTCTCTCTCTCTCTCTCTCTCTCTCTCTCTCTCTCTCTCTCTCTCTTTTCCTTCCTTCCTTCCTTCCTTCCTTCCTTCCTTCCTTCCTTCCTTCCTTCCTTTCTTCATTAAGCAAATTCGCGCATCTTTACTATAAACATGCCCTGTCGGAATTATATTTTAGTTTAAGACTTGCCGAATTCTTCTGAGCCTTGTGAGTTGTAGATACATTTATTTGCAGCCTAGCTAGGTACATTTATAGCATTCTTCTCTCTGCTTTGTAAAAAAATGTTTGTAGGTCACATGGGATCAAATTCTTCCTTTCTGGTGCTCCCTTAAAAAAAAAATACGGTACAGAACATATAACTTGCCAAGCATGTGAAAAACTTGGAGAGTTTCACCCACAATGCCTTAAAAATCATGGGTAGAACGTTACACGCCCATCTTTTCTAAAAGAAATTTCTAAATTTCTTTCTAAAAAAAATCAGTCATGGGTTGTTGGTTTTTTTGGGGTTGTCACCGTGTTTTCTATCCAATTTAAGCTCTGTTCAGTTGAGAGAACGATGATATAAATCCTCAAAGGTTTTTATAGGCATCATGACACTAATTTTCTGGACCGTTTTTGTAATAAATGGAATCAACCTGACAAAAATGTGTGGGTTTTCCTGTCTGTTTTTTTTTTTGGGGGGGGGGGGGTGTTTGGGCGAGAGAGAACCTATGGGTGAAATCTCTAGAACTTTGAACAACGATGGGAAGGTAAGTAGATGGCAGTGTGTTTTCTTGAAATCCAATGAATTTTGGAAAAGAAATCAAACAGGGCTGGAGTAGGCCAGGCAGGGATACAGGTAATCTTCAACTTACGAACACAATTGAGACCAGAATAACAGAATTGGAAGGACCCTTAGAGATCATCTAGTCTAACCCCTTATTCAAGCAAATTCGATGGAAGAGAAAAAAAGGCATAAAATCAGATGTGGTCACGACTTACCACCAAATGTCCGACTCAGTTATGGTCGTAAGTTACCTGGATTTTTTAAGGCTGGCTGGGCACATCTGGAATATTGGGAGTGAACAGATGCTCTTAGAAAACTGATGCCCGAATGGCTTGTTTAGATGTCACGGTGACAGACATAGAAAATCGTCCAGTATTCATGTTTGAGCTGGAAATAATAGTGGTAACTTTTACTTTTTACTTTATTGTCGTTGCACCTCGTACAACGAAATTGAATGCCATCTTCAGCGTACATTATACATAAAAAACAAAACACACCTCCTTCACATTCTATACAACTGAATTGAAAACCCCTGATATTGCATTAATATTGCACCATGCAGTAGAATTCAATATAGTTACTGCTCTGGGATATAGAAGCTGTTTAACAAATGGTACATGGATTTATGTGGTGCCTCTTTTAAAGCATGGGATCCAAATACCGTTTTTTTAACAATAATTTTTATTGTTCTTTTTCACCTTTTACACATATTGATCTTAATTTTAACAATACTGTGTCATCATTATTATATAAATTATTATACAAACCAATCTCATGTAAATATCTATATATACCTTTATATACATTCATATACATTTATCTATAATTTTCTTATCTCCTTTATCCTTATTTCTATTGTTTAACCATTTATACCAATTATCCCAAATTTCGTAATACTCCGACTCTTCTTTATCTTTTAATTTTAATGTCAATTTATCCATTTCAGCACAATCTAGAATTTTTTGAATTACTAATTCCTCCGAGGGCATGTTATCTTGTTTCCAACATTGTGCATGTGCTATCCTTGTTGCTGTCAAAATATATAATAAAATACATTTAATCTTTTTCCTATATTTCCCTTTAATAATTCCCAACAGAAACAACTCCGATTTAAATTCTATTTGATCTTCCACTATTTCTTGTATCCAACTCCGTATTTTGGTTCAGTATTTTTGGGCTTCTGGGCATGACCACCACATATGATAGAAGGTACCTTTGGACCTAAATATCTTAAAGTATGGGACCCAAAGACATTATACTTACAAATCAATTCAGTAAAATTCCCTTACTCCCATTGTATTAACGCTCAAACATTTAGTTCAACAAGGCATTTAAATAAATGCCCAAGGATAGGTCTGTGTGTCTAGACAACCATCTTAATGAGAGGTGTTACCCTGCAGCTGTCAGCTAAATAAAGAATAGGTGGAATAACACAACCTTATAGTAACCTACTAATCAAATTAAAATCTCCATCACCCTCCATCATCTACTTCTACCCTCCCCAGTGTGCCCTTTTTAATGGATATTTTTATGGACATTGATTCCTACAAAGCTTTGGGTTGTAACTATATATAGATATAGATATATAGATATATATAGATATATACATACATACATACACACACACACACACACACACACTGTATTTCTCATATAATAAGGCCGGGTCTTATTTTTTTTTGAGCCCTGAAAAAATGGCTAGGGCGTCTTTTCGGGGGTGACTTAATCCCCCCCCCTTGCATCTTTGGGTGGGTGGGCGGCGACGGCTTGGATGTTGACCTCGGCGTTGGTGGGGCACTTCGTATCGGGGTCAACACAGGCAGCATCATATCCAGGTGTGCAACAAAAGTACTTCCTAATGGCAAGGCCCCCCCCCCACCATTCCCCCCCATTTCGCATGTTTTAATATAGGCCTTAATTTGGGGGGAGGGGCTTAATTTCATTTCATGCCTTGACTAACTTGAAATTTGGCGTGTATGTTCCTCTTGGCTTCTAGATGCTCACTAACAAAGGATTTTTCAAAATGACCATCAGAGCTATTAGTATTTTGTTATATTATTATTATTATTAACATGCTCTGATGCTAAGGAGTTATATTTCCCCTCCCCACCTGAAAAGAAACCTGTTCCAAATGCAAAACACAAGCAGAGGAGAGGAGTTTCAGTTTCAGAGCACCAAGCAGCTTTAGTACAGAACAGTTGAGCTAAGCCACGCCCAGGCTCCTTGCTGTCTCTGCTCACACAGCGAATACTAGTTCAGTTTCCAAACAGCCCTCAACTCTCACACGCTGACAGGACACTAGCCAGATGAATACCGATGGATGCTGGCAGGCAGAGGCACAATTTTTTCCCCTTATTTTCCTCCCCCAAAACTAAGCCCAATCACATAGTTTCGTAGCGAAGCCTGGGTTTCGAGCTAGTTGTCCATAATGGTTATTTCTTAAAGGGGGCTTGATGGACCTCCAAGGGAGAGGATACCTTGGGGATGTGTGGGAGACAGGGACCTCGCCTTGTACTATGCCAGTTTCCTGGCACTCATATAGCCACATGTGCCACAGAGCAATTGCCAGCAGGCAGGACCTGGCCAAGATTTACTTGCTTCCAGCACACCGGCGACTTTGAAAGGTGGGGTGGCATAAGTTCTTTTGGGGGAACGAAGCTTTAACAAGGAGAGAATATTTCTAGCTCGGGGGTTCGCTTGGTGCTCTCTGAGCATGCTGAAGTTTCATGACCCAACTAGGTAACATCATCAGTGCTCGAGGGAGTAAGGTGTGCAGAGGAGGAGAAGCGAGGAGGAGGACTGTGGGGTCCTCGGTCCTATCTGGTTTTCTTGCAGACCTTTCATGACCCAACTCGGTAACAACATCAGTGCTAAAACAATGCACGTCACAGGGAATTGTAGGCGTGCGGAAAACCAAAACGGTTGTGCGGATGTTTTTAAAAATTTTGAGGTGAGGACCGACGGGAAACTCTTTCCTGTTTTGAGAGGCTGGGTGGGGGCTGCAGCACAAAGAGAGGAGACTGTACCCCAAGCATACCATCCTCCGCACCCCTCCAACTCCCAGAATGCCCACCCTGCCACAAATTCCCGCTAATACCATCACCCCAGTTCTGCGGGAACGAGAGAGAGAGAGAGGCTGCGTTACCTTTTACCGGTCCCGGAGGCTTGGCTGGCAGCCTTTCAGCCAAATCATGAGGACTAGCGCCTGGAATGACCTGGATTGCAGCGCGAGGATGTTGTCTGCAGTTTTCATCCTTCGGAGCCTGGGGGGGGCGGGGGGATCTGCTGGGAAGGGAAGGGCGGGGCTGAGCGGGCACAGATCGGCCGGCTCGAGCCTGGGGTTTTGATTGGCTGCCGGCGACAGATTGGGCGGAGCCAGGCCTCCTTTGGCTCCGCCTCCCTCCTTTTCTATTGCACACATCCACCCCCCCTCCCATCTTCACTCCGCGGAGCTCTCCGTTTCTCCGCTGCTTGCAACCTTCCGCGGAGCCGCGGTTTGCAAACGTCGGGAGGGCGGCCCGACCCGGATTGCAGGGGAAGGGGGCGGGTGGGGAGGAGGCAGCCGCCACCCCTAATCCAGGAAGCCCCGCACCCTCTTTTGTGGGGTGGGGGGGCGAGCGAGGGTCTTCGAGATGAGCACAGCCCTGCGGTACAAGAGCAAGCTAGTCAACCCAGGTGAGCTGGGTTCTTTTTGGGGGGGGGGGCAGGGAGGGGAAAATAAGGTGCGTTTTTGCAACCTGCCTGCCTTTTTTGGGGGTGGGGGGAAGAGGAGCTTTTGAATCTCAGGCGGTTGTGGTTTTTTTCTTCTTCTTCTAATTTTGGCTTCTTCTTCGTCTTTTTTCTCTTCCTCCTCTCCTCTCTCATCCACCCGCATCTGCCCGTCTGGATTTCTCTCCCATAGAAGAAAAGCAGGTAAGTTGACTCCCTTATTCTCTCTCTCTTTTTCCCCTTTGGCATCCCAGATGATGCTAAAGGAAAGGAAGGGGGGGCACTTGCATTTCCTCAGCTGCTTCAAGGGAGGACAAGCGGAGGCCCCCCCTCCTCCTCCTCTCTCTTCCCTCCCCTCCCCCCCAGCCCCTCAATTTTACAGAGACCCCCCATAAGGCGAGTAAATCCCAGCTTTCCTGGAAGATGAATAGCAAACACCCACACACAGACACAGCGCTTAAGAATATTGGTTTCGGCTGCTTGCAGGAAAGCAGGCCTTTTTATAAAGGGGGGGGGGTGGCGGCGTTTGCAAATACTAAGGCCTGTCCTTTGATTGGCAGCTAGTGACCCTGATGGGGCTAACTCCTTTGCCCATGTGCCAGGGGGCCAAGCTAAGTACCCATATTCTGATAAATGTCTTCTCTTCTGGAGAGTCATTGGTGAGATTTCAAAGCGGCCTTCCTCCTTAGGGTCTGAGGGTTTCTTCCCCTCCACCTCCTTCAGCATCCTTTTGGCGTGCCCAGTTTTCGTTCCCCC